TTCCGGGTCGTACCATATATGTGTTGCAATCCTGAGAGTTGGTCTCCTGACGAAAACCGACTGGTGATTGTAACCAATACAGTAATATGTGCAGTTATAGACCGAGTGGATAAGCAACTTCCATGCCTTCACTATGTTATCGTTAGTTCCGCCATATCTTCGAAGTGCATAGTATTTTATCCACTCCTCTAACTCCACAGAATTCAGGGCTTTTCTCCGATAACCCATTTCGTTCATCAGCTCATACATCATGTCGTTTTGCTCTATCCCTTCTGGTGTTAAGCCCGTGCCAATCATTGTACTATTAGAGCTGTTGAATGCTTCAATTGGCCCTGAAACAATATAACAACAACATAATTATGACGTCATCAAAAACACCCGAGAGATTTCAACGAAGAAGTAATATGATTGTTTCTGAAGAACCGTAAAATACAACATGAAAGGTTATTAAAGAACCAAATCGGATGTCAGTCTAACACCTCCTATTTTAGGGTAAGATTTTAAGATTTTCTGAGCCATAATGACAATCAACTTTCTGAATTTTGAAGGGATATTTACCTAATAAGGTATTTCGAAACGTTTTTAAAATTACCGCCATAATATTAGAGGTAGCCATGCAAATTGGGGCAAAATAGACCCAAATCAGTGACTCGCTGATAAATTCAAATGCATTGTCACTATCTTGGACGATCTCCCATCTTAGATTTCTGCCTTGTTGTGTCCTCAGTGCGTTTTCGTCACCTCGAGAAGTTTAAGACTCCATTAGCACGCTCATTCTTTATCGCGCTCTGGGACGATACGTGAATCAATTAACTTACTTATCGGTGTACTCATTTCAAATCTTTATTTTGGAGTTAACTGCAACGGCCAAATTACATGATAAAGACGGCAAAATTTAAAACCTTACTGATGTCCTTTGGTTTAGATTTTCTTGATCGTCTGGATAAAATTTACCTTCTCCCAAACATATTACAATAGCTGACAGTGTTCCTTGATTATAAAGCACGTTACCTGCTATGACGCTCTGTATTGTTCCAAACAGACCCAAATTTCCACCAAAGTTTTGCAACATACACCAAATAAACGGTTGACCATAGAACGATTCGGTGCGCGACCAGAAAGGGTAGATAGCTGCCGCTAGATCTAGGACAAT